TTTATTTTAAAGGTTAGGTGCATTTTATTAATGTTTGAATAGTAAGTGTAGTTATGTGGAATAGTAAGTACAACCATATCAAATAGTAAGTGTGTTTAGTTGTTGTAGTAAGTTGGAAACCACTAATTTAAACCATACTTACTATTTTATTATACTTACTTACCACTCATTTAAACCACACTTGCTACTCAATAACCATATCAAGTAGTAAGTGTGTTTAGTTGTTGTAGTAAGTTGGAAACCACTCATTTAAACCATACTTACTATTTCGGTGGTGCTAAATGCACCAATTAGTGTACCAACACTAGTTATGACATTATCATTGACCCTACTCATTATAAAAATTATAAATACCAACAATCTCTTAAATTATGTCACATCATCAATTGATATACTAGTTAGTACACTAATTAGTGTATATAGTATTGTTCTTATTATTTTATCAGACTTACGTACCACTCATTTAAACCACACTTACTACTTAATAAGACTCTACTTACTACTTTATCAAACTTGATTCTTCACTTAAACAACACTTATTATTCAATTAGACTCTACTTACTACTTTATCAAGCTTGACTCATCACTTAAATAATACTTTCTACTAGGGGTGGGCGCGGGTCGGTTGCGGCCACGGAACCTCCAATCCGCCATTCGTCTGCCAGATTGGCGGATTGGAGAAAATCAATCCGCATCCGTCCGCCAATCCGGTGGATATGGATTGAGCGGATTGGAAATTTGGCAGATGGATGCGAATCGGTTTGGCGATTTGAAATTTTATAAATTTTCAACACAGTTCAACTTGTGCACTTCCTCAAAAAAAAAAAAAAAAAAAGTAAAGTATTACTATCAATGACTTAAAAAGGTATTACAATTACTGCATGCCTCACCTAAAGAAAGAAAGTTTGAAACTTTAGAATATCACAATCACTGCACGCCTCATCTACATATTACAATCACAGCATGCCTCATCCACATAAAGTATTACAATCTGTAGTTCTTAAAATATACAAAAAATTCAAACCACTAAAACCATGAACAGAGCAATAGTAGAAATTGTATGTCTCTATATTGTTACATTTATATATGTTTTTGAAAACAAAAACCAACCAACATATATTATATTTTCTATTTATTACTTTTAGAGTTAGATTTAAAAATCAAAAAATATAGATAAATAATACATTTATTTTTTTCAATTCAAAAAATATATTTAAGTTGAAAACTTTTTTTCAGAATATTTGAACTCTTTTTCAATTGAAAACACAAATAAAATATTTAAACAAATTGAAAACACAAACTCTTATAAATTACTAAGGGTACTCGCGGTTTGGCGGTTCGGTTGTGGCCAAAGGAATCTCAAATCCGTCATCCGTCCACCAAATTGGCGGATTGGAGAAAATCAATCCGCAACCGTCCGCTTATCATCACGCATCCGTTCAAAATGTGGCGGATCAGTTCAGTTCAGTCGGTTTTGGCAGATCGGTATATCCGCTGCTCACCCCTACTTTCTACTTAATGGAACTCTGCTTACTATTTTAGTAGACTTGATTAATCAATCATTTAAACTAAACTTAAGATTGCCCTTACTATTTCATCAAACTTGATTTTTTTTTTTTCTCACCACTTAAATCTCATAATTTTTCTTCTAACTAGATGAAATGTTGTTCCAACAAAACATTAAAATTTATAAATTCAAACTATCATGGAAAGTTAAAATTTTTAAATTTTATTATTTTCCTATATTTTATTAATTATATTTTTTCATTAATTTCATTTATTATTTTCAAGTGTTGTAAATGAAAAGGAAATTAGGTTTCATTTATTGCCATTAAGTAGATAAATAAATTAAAAAAAATCATATTTCATAAAATGTAATAAATTATAATAAAATGTATAAAATTTACATTTATTTTGTATATTTTTTTTCTTAAATTCCATTTTATAAATTTTATATTTATTTTAGAGGTTCTGAAAATTTATTATAACTTAATTTTTTAAGTTTACTTATTACATGAATAGTGGGTTAAGTGTATTTTATTAATAATTGAATGGTAAGTATAGTTATTAAAAATAGTAAGTATAATCATATCAAATAGGGGTCTTTTGGGAAGTGGGTTATAATCCACTTCCCAGATTATAACCGACTTCCCTCTCGCACAAAAAATTGATTATAATCAGCTTATATTCAATTTTTAACCAAAAAATTGATTATAACCATCTTCCCAAAATAGCCCATAATAAGTGTACTTCGTTATTGTGATAAGTTGAAAACCACTTTTTGGTTTTAAAACCATTGAAAACTACCTTGTTTTTTACGAAACTACCTAGATTTCTTAATCTAGTTTTAATTATTACCAATCAATGGTTAGATTTATTTTACTTTTTGATCTAATAGTCAAAATTTATTTATGTATGATACATGAAAACCACCTTCATGTGTCATAGAAAAATCCGTGATGGACTGTTTCTTCTACTTCCATATGCTCTGATTCATCATCCTGAGACCTTTCTCTTGTATGAGAGGGTTGGAAAACTCTGAGGGAGGTTGGGAAATTTTGATTTGTACTGGTATTTATAGCAAATGTATTTACAAGGAGGATAAGATTGAGAGGTGGGAAAGATAGAGAATCATTTGATTTGTTGGGAAAGATGTGTTTGAATCACGATTTATAAACCCAAGGTTATGATTATTTTATGACCGATATAATTGAGAATTATATAAAAACAAATCGTTTAAATTATCAAAATAAAATTTATGATACGTGTCTCGCAGCTTCCTCAAATTTTCTCAAATTAATATAAGAGCTTAAGATAAATCCAATTCTTTCAATAAATTTCTTTCTAAATACATGATATAAACACAACTGTAAAACATTTTTACGCTTAATTAGTTGAGTTCATCTTCTATGCATCATTTTTTGACGATTTGAATTTTAAAAATGATATGTTTCCCTTCAATTTATTATTTGGATTGGAGAATTCAGTTTCTTGGGATTTATTTCACTTTCTATCAATGTAAATGAGAACCCTACACGCACGTATTAAAGGGAATTTTTTTTTTTTTTTTTTAAGTTTTGTTTGATGGATTTATTTTTATTTTTATTTTTTTGCTTTAATTATTTCTTTTCATTTTTTTAGAAAACCCCATTTAATAATTAAGACAATCTATAAAGCCCGGGCAAATTTAATTTTTTCATTACTTTGCAAATGATTGGAGTTTTCATTTGAAATGCAATTCAATGAAATAGTTAGACACTTGATCAATTTGATTTTTTATAAATATATTTTACTTAATATATTTTAAAAATAAACAATTTAAATTATTGATATCCGAAATAGATTCTAATAACCGTACAATTGTGAGTATTGTGTTCCGCATAACAAATATTCCATTTTCATATTTAATTACTCTTTCAATTCGTTACGGCGTTGCATAAATATCTCATATGAACAATTCCAAAAAAATCACGAACACAAAAAAAATATTAAAGGATGTTAGAATTTCCCTCAAACATATGCCTAACCCAAATTTCATAGCCTTCGTTTGGCAATGATTTTTTTAGTTGACTTTTTGGTTTTTTTTGACTTTTTTAGTGTGTGACTTTTTTGTTCGTTTTGTATTCTTGATTGGCTTTTTTAGCTTTTCAGCTTTGAAATAGTGAATTTTTTTTTGTCTTTTTGTGATTTTTGGCATTTTATGATTTTTTATTTTTTTTTGTCTTTTTGTGATTATTTAGCCAAAAATGAAAACCAAATACAATTACCTAATCAGTCCATAATGATATGCTCACATGAGCCAGCATCAATAAAAATCTGCTTGAAAATTATTAAGGAAAAATGTCAAATGAAAAATAAGAAAACTAATAGCAAACCAGGGGGCATGCAAGAGAAAATTATGCTCCAAGACATAGCTCTCACTTGCACCGGGACACATGTATCACTTACATTCTATTGGTTTACAAATAAGGGTTTATTAAATTTTTAAACTTCTGCATTTTGATTCAAATGTTACATTGGTTTTTAAAATCTTAAATTGAATAGTTTAGTTTCTAATCCTTCCATCCAAATTTTTGTTAAATTTTTCAAGAGTTAAATTCATTTTATCCCCTTATGATTTGAGACTGAAGCACTTTAGCTCTTATCATTCAAATATAGCCATAAAGTCCCCATGTGATTTTAAACTAAAGTATTACCATTAATTTTTTCATCCAAACTAACAAAAAATGTATTACACGCACTATTATTTAGAATGGCTTTTGTTTTTAAAAAAATTAGAATTAAATTAATGCGACAAAATTATAATTTTATCCTCATTTTTTTCAAACCTAAAATTAAATTAATATGTTAATTAAAATAAAAAATATATATCTAAAATATAAAATAAACAATAATTAAGAATAGATCCAAAATGTAATTAAATTAAAACTAGATTACATATTAGAAATTATAACAAATAATTAAGAATTTAAGATTAATTATGATCCAAAATATAATTAAATTAAAATTAGATTAAAAAGTTAATAATAAATAGTTAACTATTTAGGATTAATTATGATCTAAAATATAATTAAAATAAAACAAAAAGAAAAATTTAAGAATTATAATAAATAATTAAAACTTTATAATTAATTGTGATTTAATTAAATTAATACTAAACATTATAAATTATGTATATGAGAAATGAAAAATAGAAAGAAAAAAAAAATGACAAAAAATATAAAGTTTAAAAGTAATATAATCATTTCATATCTATAATTAACAATTTTAATAATTGTAATTTAGTCCAAAATCACATGAGAGACATGACTATTTTTAAAAGATGGAGAGAGAAAGTGCTATCAAATCATACCACAAAAATGTAAAATAAATTTTGCCCTTTTCTCTATATCGTTGACTTTAAACTATTCAATTTAAAACTATAAGAATCGAAATGAAATTTGAATCAAACTATAACGGCAAAAAAGTGTAAATAACCCTAAAATTAATTTCTCTATCCACCAATTTTTCCTACTTGCAATTAGTTTCTCTACTCCCCCTATTTTCTACTTGCATCATCAACAATAACATATTATTAAACCCAAACAAACTTCAGTTCACAAAGCTTTTGCAAACCATTCCTTAAATCCCAAAGTTCATAGTCTTAAACAATTCTTGTTTGTGCTGAAACAGTAAAAAAAGCTAGAGCAAAAGGCAAGAAAAACAAGAAGCATGGTAATTAAAATAGCCATTGCATAGCAGCAAGCATAGCTACTAACTAATTCACCCAAAACGGAACTTTCACTATCTGAAGCACCACTACAATCTATCGTTCTTCCTCCCAGTAAAGAAAAAAGCTTCAGTTCCTTTCGCGCTCCTCAGCCTCTGCACATCCTGTTCATTAAATTGTAAGTTAGACAGTGGCATACTCTAAGCAAAACCAGTTTGGATCTTTCAAACGCTTTTTGTGTCATAAATTTTTCAAAAAACCAGCATGTCAAATTTTCTACAGACGCCCATAATCTCAAATTCATCTTATATGAATAATTACTCCATTACTTGGCACAAACCATAGTACCTTTTCCGCAAAAATGGACCAAACTAAAAACCAATCAGATCATCTTCTAGCACATACAATCATGCCAGGTACACAAGAAGCACAAAGGTATTTATTAGTGTACATACAGAAGAGATGCACACCAATCAATATCAGTACTAGTGGGATCAAAGAGATTATTGGTCTACCAAGTAGACAACTTTTTTATTCATAGGGAGGAGTATGAATCCCAAATGAATTATATTACTGCTACAAAGTTTTACCTAACCAACATACATCATGTTGGATTTTCCACATGAATGTCACAATAATGAATAATGAACTCAAATTTTCTGCCCTGGCATCATCAAGCATGCATAAACCAATTAAAGTATGACACAACTTTTGCAGGAAAGTGGCTCAGTACTGGATACTAATCAATCTCATGAACTTGCACCGCAACAGCAATAGTCTAAATTTGTCCAAACCGCATCAGTGTAATACAATATGACGTAACTTGCCAGTGGATTTACATGCATATTCATGATCCAATGAATGCTTCAACGGCTATGATAATGGTTTCAGCTGAACTTCATTCTTTTTTCTTAAATTCTTTTGATAGGCCTATAATATCTTTTGATATTTTTCCCCCTCATCCTTCATTTATTTAACTTTTTTTGTTTTGTTTTTTTCTTTTGAGAAAGTGAGGTTAACAACTAGGCTGTATCTGACTGAAAAGCAGCTGGCTAAAATGAGTGTGGTTGACACCTTTAAGAAGAAAACAGATTTCCAAGCTTGAACCTCCAAGAGAGCAGCCTTACTGCAAAGGCAATTGACTTAGGTCGAGAGAATTAAAGAAAGGGAATCTGCAAGACAGCACATGTTTTCACTGACTGCATGGATTTTCATATGAGGAGCCATGAGAAAGGCTAGATATTATGATTGAGTAATCAAATTGTTCTCCCCAGTTTTCCTCTCATTTTTTTCTAGCGGGGGGAGGGTAATGAATAAACGGTTTCAAAGCTGCAAGCTGAAGTTCCAGAAATCAGAGGGGATGAAATAAGAAGGCTCAAACCCATTATATCCACCATCAATCCCACTCTCTCACTATGAACACCAAGGGTTTTGACTGCAACTCCAGGTATAAAGGATCCATCACTATCATTATGAATCCCCTGAGGCGTATTGGTCTAAACACAAAAGGCACAGGGGACCACTGCCCCTTCCCCTGTAGAAGATTGGGAGGGGCATTTTCTGAACTCTAAGAATGCCCAAGTGTTTGGATAAGAGTCTTCTTGAGAAACCTAGAATCCCTCAAATTGATGGTAAGAGCGATGAAAAAGAGAACGAGAAGCCACGTCTAAGAAGTGAGGAAGATAAAGGGAAGCTATGCTCTACCTCAATAGTACTGTTTGAAAAATAGAATAATGCAAATGGTCTGATTCTACATCTTCTAATGCTCTATAATATATACCACTATTCCACAATATTAAATATCACTCCAACTCCCATAATAGGCACAATGGGAAAGAAGAATTATAGAACAAGGAGACACAGCTAAGAGAAGGAGGAAGGTAAAAGGGAGCTATGCTCTACCTCAAATAATTTTTTCTTTTCTTTTTTTTTTTTTTAACACAACCCAATAATATTGATTGAAAGATAGAGTAATGCAAAAGGTCCTGTTCTCATCTGCTACTCTATAACATACACCATTCCTCAACATTAATTATTACTCCAACTTCCCTAGTAGGTAATTCCACAACAGTACGTACTCAAAATTTCAAATTAAAACTAAAACACACTTAGTAGACAATAGCTACAGGGCAAATATAGATGGAGCATTTGCAAAGCCATACCACTAGCTCTTGTTTTGCGAAAGCCAAACCCACAACAAAGAAGACGGAGGGAAGGAATGATCGGAACATCCCAGATACTTGCAAAGGCAGCTGTCATAAATTTGGGTCTAGACACAAGGGAGGAGAAAAACACAAACATTTAGGCTAGGGGTCTTAACCTTGGATACTTGCAAACGCTGAATAACAAGCAAGAAGCTGACTGGCCTGTCCTCAAACCCAAAGGCCTATGGTCTCTATTTGCAAAAAGGACCCTTGCACTCTAAATTCAGAACACCATCCTAATAATTTTTGTCAGACTATTTGTGCAAGTGGAAGTAATACATCAATGAATCCAGATCCTCTGCCATTGTTCCCTGCAATGATCCTTGCCGTAGTCCAAAACGGCGTCGTTTTGAACCCTTTTTTTTTTTTCTTTTTTTTTCTTTTTTTTTTCACCCTGTTTTTTTCTTTCTTCTCCTAAGCTTTCAAACGTTTCAAAGCAGAGCACCTACGAACGACCGAAGATAGAGATGAAGAAGAGAGTGACAGCGCCGGCAAGACGACGGCACCGGCGAGGATTGAACTCGCATAACCCAGCCAAACGAAAGACCAAAATGATTCTCATATTTGCGATGTGAATTTCTAGATCTGAATGTGTTGATTTTGAAATGTTTCACTGTTGTTGCCTTTTGGATATCGTTTATTTGCTTGTTTTGACATATGGGTTCTTGTTATGTTTCCATTTTATGTTCAATTGATTTATTCTTAGCACTGTTTGGTTGTATTGTGATGTTTGGGTTATGAACTTTTAGATTTGAAAGGCGCATTTGGTATGTTTGAGAGTGGGAAAAGTTTGGGAGCTCAATTGTTGTTCGCCGTCGCTGTTGGCACGGTGATGCGAGGTAGGACTGGTTCAATAGTAAGCCACGGAGTTCAAGAGAGTCCTTCCCATCAGGTGCATTTTTAACCAGATCAAAATCGGCAACCTTGGCTCTCATGTCATCTCGAAGAAGTATATTAGAGAGTTTCAAATCTCTATGAATGAAACTTTGTTGTGCTAAGCTGTGAAGATACTCAACCCCTCTGGCCACATCCAATGCCATTGTCACCCTCTGCTTCCAAGCAAGAGGAGAGTACCCAAGTTTACCCCACTCAAACAAAGGCTGAGCCAAAGTCCCCTGTGGCATGTACTCATACACCACTCGCCGCCGCCATCGCCTCACCGTGATGTCGTCATCGCATCATCATCTTTTCTCTTCGTCTCTCTGGTTTGAGAGTTGAGTGAAAAGAAGAGGGGAGGAAAGTAAAAATGAAAAGACCAAAAAAAAAGAGTTCAAAACGACACCATTTTGGCCCACGGCAGGAATCATTGCAGGGAACAATGGCAGCGGATCCGGACTCATACATCAATCTAGGAAAAGTACGTAGGAGCATCCCCGACCCTTCACCTTTTTTTTCATCAAATTGTTTCGCCAATTTAAATCAAAGCTTGATTTAATATTAGCTCAATCCAATGGTGAGAATTAAACTTTCCATCAAATCATTTTTAAAATGCGTAACTTATCCCAAAAATCCTCATTTAATCAATTCAAGTGAAAAAAACCCATCTCCAACCCTTATCTTTGAGCAATTTCATCAAATTTAAGTGAAAAAAAAGGTGGTGGGAAATTTGATGAAAGATTTTATGCATCCCTCATTTGATGAATTTTTTTTATGAAAACCTGATTTGATGCAAGTTTGATGAATAAATTAGATCTCATTTTCACCAAATTTTTCATTAAATTTAAATTTGATGAAAGATTTGGTGAAGAATTAGAGATGCTCTAACACAAATTATTTTGGTCAAGAATAAATTTCAACAAAGCTAAAATGCCAAACAACAAAAATAGAGTGGACAAACTTTACACAGAAAAATGTCAGCAAGTTTAACATATACAAGAGCATTTATAGCAGATACTACAAACTCAGAATGATACATAAGGAATTCAATCTAAAAATTTTACGCTGATTAAACAAAAAGAAAAAAGAAACACAAAGATGTACCTGCATTGGCTACTTAATAGACAAAAGAACCTCTTTCCCCTTTGGCAACATCCCGGAGGGAAACAAAGCTCGGAGTATGAGCAATCCCATAAAATTCTGATCTGATCCCATAAGTGCTTAGCTTCTTAAATTTACCTAACTTAGGATTATACATCACAAGAGCATCCTTGTTAACAAGCATCAAGATTTCCCCACTCTTTAGAATCATAATTGGCTCATGACAGTCCAAATTCCCTCTCTTACCAATCCCATTTTCAATAACCAACTCTTTGCTCCAAGACTCCTTAATCCCATAATCTTTCATTAACCATATATCGATACGACGAGGGTTAGAAAAATCACAAATAGAAAGACTATCACGCAGCACACCCACTCGTATATGATCCGGAAGTTCCTTCCTATGCAGACCAAACTCAGGAGGTTCAGGGACAACCCGAAATTGCTCGCTCCCAAAATCAAAACAACAAATGAAGTCGGGACTATCACGCGCAAAATTAAGCCAATGAAGAGCTCCATTCACAAAAGAATTGAATGAGTGATTTGTCAAAAAGTAAGGAACACTCCCCATGTTTCTCCACGATCCTTCACCAATTGTGTAAATTATAGCTTTCGCCTCCTCGCGAGAAGTCCTTAACTCAGTAATGGGGTCAAAAGAGTCGTCCAGCTCTTCAGTTAAGGGGTTGAAAAAGGACGCGACAAAGTTTTTAATGGTGGGGTCGAAAAACTTGACAAACCGTTGGATAAAAAACCGTATAACCTTGTATTGGTTAGTCTTGGGACTGAACCCAAAAGCAGTGATGTAACGATCATATTTTCCATCATATATTGGGAATGGTAAGCAAATGTACTCACACAGAATTGGATTGCATATGAAAATTTCAGGTACATTACACAAGCAAAGCAAACCATTGCAGGATGTTAAGATAAATTGATAGAGAAAGATACAGAGAGAATGAATTATGTATTGATTGATATTATTGATGTATTGTATGTACATTATATAGGAGATGTGAAGTGGAGGTGGAGTGATGGAGTAGGTGAAGTGGAGTGTGTAGTGGAGTAGGTGAAGTGGAGGTGGAGTGGTGTAGGTGAAGTGGAGGTGGTAGGTGGAGAGTAGGTATGTTTACAATTTACATTAACAGCCCCCCTCAAACTCAAGGAGGATAGGTACTAGCTAACTTGAATTTGGAGAGAGTAACAAAACAGGAAAGTAAACTGATAAACAAAATAAAACAGGATAGGAGACACGGTATGGTCGTGTCAGACCGATGTAGCAGACAGTTTATGGGGTTATGTCGGACCGTTGTAGCAGACACTGTGTGGTCGTGTCAGACCGATGTAGACGACAGTTTATGGGGTCATGTCGGACCGATGTAGAAGACAGTTTACGGGGTCATGTCGGACCGTTGTAGCAGACACTGTGTGGTCGTGTCAGACCGATGTAGAAGACAGTTTACGGGGTCATGTCGGACCGTTGTAGAAGACAGTTTACGGGGTCATGTCGGACCGATTGTAGCAGACACTATGTGGTCGTGTCAGACCGATGTAGAAGACAGTTTATGGGGTCATGTCGGACCGTTGTAGCAGACACTATGTATGGGGTCATGTCGGACCGGTGTAGAAGACAGTTTACGGGGTCATGTCAGACCGTTGTAGAAGCTGACCGGAATCAATGTCGGGACAGTTTACGGGGTCATACCGGACCGTTGTAGAAGCTAACCGGAATCAATGTCGGGACAGTTTACGGGGTCATGCCGGACCGATGTAGAAGCTTGTGGTGGTGCACCAAGGGGGCGACTTAGGGAGTGCGCCATGGGGTGGCTTGGGTGGTTCGCAGGGTGTGTAACCGTGCTCACCATGATATATGTATAACCCCCCCTCAAACTCAAATAGGTGTGAAGATAGAAACATATTTGAGGTTGAAACAAAGGGATTGATAAAGTGGAGCAAAACAGCTCAACACAGAGTGAAATGTGCAAGCAGGATGGCAAGAATGGTACAAGGTTGTTGGAGCAGGAAAATCAGTGAGGTGGTGTTGAATTTGTGTTTTGTTTTGTGCCTTTTTTTTTTTTTTTTGAAAAATGTCAGCAAGTTTAACATATACAAGAGCATTTATAGCAGATACTACAAACTCAAAATGATACATAAGGAATTCAATCTAAAAATTTTACGCTGATTAAACAAAAAGAAAAAAGAAACACAAAGATGTACCTGCATTGGCTACTTAATAGACAAAAGAACCTCTTTCCCCTTTGGCCACATCCCGGAGGGAAACTAAGCTCGGAGTATGAGCAATCCCATAAAATTCTGATTTGATCCCATAAGTATTTAGCTTCTTAAATTTTCCTAACTTAGGCTTATACATCACAAGAGAATCCTTGTTAACAAGCATCAAGATTTCACCACTCTTCAGAATCATAATTGGCTCATGACGGTCCAAATTCCCTCTCTTACCAATCCCATTTTCAATAACCAACTCTTTGCTCCAAGACTCCTTAATCCCGTAATCTTTCATTAACCATATATCGATACAAAAAGGGTTAGAAAAGTCACAAATAGAAAGACTATCACGCAGCACACCCACTCGTATATGATCCGGAAATTCCTTCCTACGCAGACCAAACTCAGGAGGTTCAGGGACAACCCGAAATTGCTCGCTCCCAAAATCAAAACAACAAATGAAGTCGGGACTATCACGTGCAAAATTAAGCCAATGAAGAGCTCCATTCACAAAAGAATTGAATGAGTGATTTGTCAAAAAGTAAGGAACACTTCCCATGTTTCTCCACGATCCTTCACCAATTGTGTAAATTATAGCTTTCGCCTCCTCGCGAGAAGTCCTTAACTCAGTAATGGGGTCAAAAGAGTCGTCCAGCTCTTCAGTTAAGGGGTTGAAAAAGGACGCGACAAAGTTTTTAATGGTGGGGTCGAAAAACTCGACAAACCGTTGGATAAAAAACCGTATAACCTTGTATTGGTTAGTCTTGGGACTAAACCCAAAAGCAGTGATGTAACGATCATATTCTCCATCATATATTGGGAATGGTAAGCAAGTGTACTCACACAGAATTGGATTGCATATGAAAATTTCAGGTACATTACACAAGCAAAGCAAACCATTGCAGGAGTTGACTACTTTTATTCCCAGAGGTGGGAAGTTGATTTTGGGGATGAATTTCAACTGGGCTTCGCGGGGATGGATTTTATGGAGGATTTGAAGGTCGACCAAGCGGAGTAGACTCGATCGGTACTTGGGTTTGATCAAGAGGTTGACTTGTGATCTTGAGAGGTGGAGTTTGGCGAAGTGGGGGTCTGGGATGAGAGAAAGCCAGTGTTTGGAAACGAGTTGGCAAAGGAAGAGGATTTTGATGGGGAGTCTTGAGAGGATTTCAAGGATGATTTGGGTTGGAAGTTCTTTTGGGATGGAGTGTTTGTTCTTCTTGTTGGGTATGATCTGTTTCATCATCGTTTCTTGTTTTTCTTGTTTGCTTTTCTGGTGTTGATGGGAGATTGTTGTTTGGCTTGAATGAGAGAGAATGAAAAGTAGCGATGATATAGGTGTGGACATAAGGGCTTGTTTGGAAAGTTTGTTATTTTAGTAAATTATTTTAGATTTTAACTATTTTAATAGGTTAAAATTTTTGCGCTTACGAAGATGATTAGATTTTTTTGTAATTGAACGTGATATTTGAGAAAAAAAGTAAAATCATTATGAATTTGATGTGACACTTTATCTTGTTAATTATTTTAGCCTATGTTGGCTTTGTTTGGCAAAGGCTAAAATTTTACTTTTTAGGCTATAATTCACAAAAAAGCAAAATAAAATAAAATAGCTAATAAAATAAAATGTTATATCAAATCTATAATCATTTTACTATTTCTCTCACAAACATCACATTTAATTACAAAAAAATACATTCATCTTCCTAAACACAAAAATTTTAATCTACTAAAATAATCAAAAACTAAAATAACCTACTAAAATAGCCAACTTCCCAAACAAGGCTATTGTCTTTTTGTGAATTTTAGCCTAAAAACCGCCTAGAGCATCTCCTACAATTTATGTTTTTTTTATTATTATTAATTTGAGTAAAAATTTTATTTGATATCAAGGGTTCTAACGAAAGATTTTGAACTTTCATTGAAACACCGGTCGATCGAACAGATGTCTGGCCGGTTGACTGGTCAGTATAGTTTTTTCATAATTTTTTACAAAAAAGTGGTCATCTGCACGACATTTAGGAGACATTGAAAATGAAACGACTATGAACAGTAAATTGATGAAATCTACTAACCATCCTCAATTTGGTAAAAGATTTATCATATCCACAAGTTAAGAGTTGTTTGGGATGTCCTAAATAAGTGCATTTTTTGACTTTTTAGACTAAAAAGTTGACGAAAAAAATATGATTGTTTGGATTAACTTTTTGACTTTTTATGAAAAAATATGTATTAAAAAATTGTATAAATTAGTGTGTAGGAGAACTTAGGAAGAGTAGGCAGTACGACCCGTACTGTCTGGGCAATGTGATTTGATATAAGAAATGGTTGCCTCTTTTACGGGCATTACATTGGACGATGTTGTTCGGCCCGTGGGGGCCCACCACGGGTCCCGTTTGTCAATGTGTAGAACTCGTCGAATACTATATACTTGTAAAAAATCACGTTGATCGAATATCGATAGCTATCTGATCAGATTAGTTTTTTTTCAACCGTTAACTATAACACCATCCTTTTTTTTTTTATACAAAACTGATTTGATTATATAGTTAGCGATATCTAATCAATGTGATTTTTTTCAAGTATATAGTACTCGACGAGTTCTACACATTGAATGGTTCCGATTATCAAAAAGAGGCCCGTGATGGGCTCCCACGAGCCGAACAACACCGTGTTGTTTGTGCACCCCGCTTGTGCAATTTTTCAAAAAACAAAAATCAGCAAAAGTCTATGGGACATCAGACTGAGTTGTAATAATTTTTGTGTAGAATAATTTTTTTTAATTTTTTTTTAGCGAATAGTGATAACTTTTTAACTTTTTTAATAAATTTTAGCTTTTTGGATTATTTGGAATATACCAAACCAGCCCTTAATACTTATCTGATAAAACTATTGAAACAGGAAAATTGTTGATTTTTTATCAAATTTTAATTTGATAAAAGAATTAATTAGTACGTTTGGTTTCAGTTTGCAAAATTCTGTTTTTTCAAAATTGAATTTTTTTATTTTTCATGTTTTTTTTATTTTTGGTGAATATTTTTTTAAAATTTTAAGCAATTTTTTACTTTTTTAAATGTACCTTACTTAGTTGTATCTAAATAGTAAAATATTTATAAAAAATATTTTTAAAAATTAATAAATATACAAAAATATAAAAAAAAATGTACTAAATTTTCATTAATTTTTTAAATTTTTTTGGTATTTAAAAAATAATTCACAAATATTATATTTTTTAAAGATATTTAATGTGTTTAAAAATTAAAAAAATTTACTTAATATATTTAAAAAATTCGTTAAAAACATTAAAATATAACAAATAAAAAAATAAAATTTCATTAAAAACATTAAAATATAACAAATAAAAAACATAAAATTTACTGAAAATTATTTTCTCAAAACCAAAATCAAACAAGCTCAATGATACTTGGAGATGGTATAAATATAGCAAGTTTATGGTATTTAAATTTGAAACGTTTGAGTGGTTGTTTTTGGAGGGAGTTGAATGTGGTGTTTTGGGAAATTGGTAAAAAATTAGTTTTTTTTGACTTTTTAACTTTTTTAGTGATCTTTTTGACAAAAAATTAGATTGTTTTGAATAAAAAACTGAATTTTGAATAATTTTAAAAAACAAGATAACAAAATATTTTTTAAAATAGAGTTTTAAAAAGAATTTTGGTTATGAGTTTTGAAAAGAGTTTTTGAATTGAGTTGTAAAAAATTTATTTGGTTATGAATTTTGAAAGAAAAAAAGAAGATCCAAATCATGATTTTAGAACAAAACCAAACGCTACATAAGGCTTTGTTTAGGAAATGGGTCGGCTTTTTGTTTAGCCTAGGGCTAGAAAGTTTGATTTTTTTGACATTTTGTGAGAGAAAAAATGAAATGATTATGGTTTAAATGTAACATTTTTGTCTTATTAACTTTTACCTTATTTTGTTTGTTTGTTTGTTTGATTGTTTGTTTGGTTTTTTTTTTTTTTTTGTTTTTTTTTTTTTTTTTTTTTGTGGCTGAGGTCTCACTTGGCAACTATGTGTTCCAATTAAAAAGTTACTATAAGTTGTCACATCACTCTTTACTTTTTTGCACATCATTTCATAAAAAATTAAAAAGTTATTAAAATAGCTTATTCCCAAACGAGACTTAAAAAAGCCACCAACCTCATTTTAGCCCTGTTTTTTTTTTTTTTTTTTTTTTTGTGGCTGAGGTCTCACTTGGCAACTATGTGTTCCAGTTAAAAAGTTACTATAAGTTGTCACATCACTCTTTACCTTTTTGCGCATCATTTCATAAAAAATTAAAAAGTTATTAAAATAGCTTATTCCCAAACGAGACTTAAAAAAGCCACCAACCTCATTTTAGCCCATTGTCAAACGAGGACTAAGGGTGTGTTTGATTTATGTTTTGAGATAAATTTTCAAAAAAAAAAAATTTGAGGGAGAGAGTTTAGAAACTTTTTTGGTTTGTTTGGTTTATATTTTGAAAATAATTTTAGAGTTTGGGAGTTTAAGATGATTTGATATTTTGTTGTAATTGAGTAGATGTATGTAAGAGAAAAAGTGATTCAGAAGGAAAGAAGAAAGAAAAAGTGATTGACTGATGTATAGGAGAGAGGAGAAAGAAAAAATGTTTGATTGATATATAGTAGATGCATGTGAGAGAAATAATTTCTTGATATACAAACTAAACAAACCCTAAATCATTCACTCATTACTTTTCAAGATATGGAAAAGTTTTCTAAAATTCTCTATCTTTGCTTGTGTCGGAAAGTATGTTAAAAGTTAATTTCTTTTTATTTTTATTTTTTGAAAAAAAAGGTAAAAAAGTAGAGAGATGATGTGATAAAAAAAAATGTTAAATAGTAAAAAAAAGTGGCTTTTAGCCGAGTTGCAAAAACAAGCTTATTTGGCACAATTTGTAAATAAAAAATTGATAATTAAAAAGTAAAAGTTAAAAATATCTCCCTCCTAATTAGATAATCAGTTTTTTTTTTTTGGTTAGTTTATTAAAGTTATTTTTAACTAATAATCTGGCCCCGTTTAAGAGTAAATTATTTTTAGTTGGCTTTTAAATTTTTTTTTTCTATTTTAACCTTGCTAAAAAAGGTTATGTTTGAAATAATAGTTGACATTTTTTAAAATTTGACAGTTGTGAAAGAAAAAGTGAAATAATTATAGTTTGAATGTGATATTTTGTCTTCTTACCTATTTTAGTCTATTTTGTCTAAGCCTATTTGGCAATGACTTTTTTTTTGGCTAAAATAACTAATAAGATAAAATGCCACATTCAAATTATAATCATTTCACTTTTCAACAATGCTAGATCTACCGAATTTGATGTCGTCCGAATTTGTTCATACCGGTCGTCCAAATGATAGAGTGATTTTGTGACGATCGCGGTAAAGGAGAGTTGTCTGGCTAACATAAATTTGAGCGATTCGGGCAACAACAAATTATGTGGATAATTCATTTTACTTCACTTTTTCTCTCACAACTATAAAAATTAAAATAAAATAAAGAAAAAAACAACAACAACAACAATAACTTTCAAAACACAACTTTTTTAGCCAAGTTAAAATAGCAAAAAAGTCAAAAAAATCAACTAAAATAGCCAACTTCCTAAACAAGCCCTCTGTAAGCAAAAATTATATCAAACTATTTGAGACAATTTTTCAAATTAAAAAAAGTATAACTAGTTTTATTATTATTTTTTTAATTTTTTTTTACCTGCAGCAAAGAGGGCCTTTGTTCCTTTCTTCTTTGCTCAAAGGCCTCATTTGGTTGTCCATATTGAATATAAAAGTTTGAAGAGGATATGTAATACTTAAGTATAAAAATTAGATATAATATGTTGTAGGATATAAGGTGAATTATATACTGTGAGACCATCTCCAACGACTAAGCAAAACCATCACCAAATTTGAATTTGGTGAAAAAAAACAACTTTTTTGGTTCCAACAGTTTCATCAAACTGATATCAAAATGAAAACCACCCAAAAATTTCACCAAACTGAGGAGCTCGGCAGATTTTACCAAAACACTATGTATTTACGTTGGAGGTGGGTCCCACCGGACAACTAGCTGGATGTCCCACCGGTTATCCCACCGGTCATCCATAGGACGTCCCACCGGTCGTCCCTTACATACAAAAAATGCCAAGCTCCTGTGCAGTGCTTCAATGTTTGGTTCGATTTCAAGTAGATGCCAAAGGATAGAGAATTGGGTTGAACAGGGTTGACAGAGGCTGTTTGTTTGCAGAGAAAATACCCAAGAATTCAGGTATCATGCTTGAAATTTTCATGGACATATGATGTTATTGCTTTCTGTTTGTTACTATCATCTACAATCAACCTTTCTCAAGTTCAGATCCAACACTCAAAATTTTACTATAGCATTGCTCTCTCTCTCTCTCCATTTTGTTGGGTTCTTGAAAAATGAACAGAAATTAGTGTAAAATTATACTTGAACATACCCAATTGCTCCTGTTTGAATTTTTAAACAAGATAATGATATTTCATTATTTTAACATTCACATTTTTTACTATAGGCTTGTTCTCTCTCTCTCTTTCTCTCTCTCTCTCTCCCTCTCTCTCTCCCCATATAATTTTGTTGGTTTCTTGAAAATTGACAGAAATTAGTGTAAAATTATACTTTTGAGTGTATGAATTTTTCAATAGGAGAATGATCTTTTAGTATTTTAACATTCATATTTTTTGTTTCATTCGGCGGCAACTGATTGTTTATTTTTGCTTTCTCTTTCAACAACACCAAAGAATTGTGTATCTTTGAAAACTATCATTAGAATAAACCCAATTACGCAACTATTTTATGCAAAATTTAACTAGATTATCATCATTTAACTCTTTCAATGGAATTTTATGTCATAGAAATATGCCTCAAGACAGTCTAAGATCAGCTGTCTACAGATCATTTGTCACATGTGATGATCCCAAAGGTGTCATTGAATGTAAGACAATTAGAAAATCCAAAACTAGTTCTAAAAAATCAGATAAAATCGAAAGAAATCATCAGTCACACAAGGAAGGAGGAGAGGAGATGGGCTCTAAAAATGTCGCTGAAGATTCACCTAGCAACCCATCTTGCTTTCTGCTTATGGAGGTGTTGAAAGGCGCTCATAAGATCAACCAAGTGATCGATTCGTGGTCTAAGAGAACGAGGTTTGCTGGGAATTCAAAAGAAATAATGAAAGATTTGTTGAAAGGAGCTCTTGATTTGCAAAAGTCTTTGATGATGCTTGGAAAATTACAAGAAGCTTCTCAGTACATGGCTCAGTTGAAGAAAAATCAGAAGGAGAAATTCGGGAGAGAATTTTAGTCTTTTAACTGGTCGATTGGTCGGTCGTCTCACTGGACGTCCCCAGTCTTCTGATGCAATCTACAGTGTAATCCGTTGGAGCACCTCATATCAGATTGAGGAAATCGTTTTTTTTTTCCCCCTCGGATTTGATGAAAAAAATGGTTCACCGTTGGAGATGCTCTGAGATCATTTATACTATATTTGGTTAAGATTGGATATAGGATATGATAAGAGAAGAGTGATTATTTTTGACATTTGAATGAAATTTTTTGACATTTAGATAAAAGACTCCCTATATCCAATGGTGGGAGATACACAATATTATGGAAAAGTGATATTGCATATCCCCTTTTATATCATATACTATCTGGACTCCCTATATTCTAAGCAACCAAATGCAAGATATGAGGAGACAAAAAAGTGTGTAAAATGCATCTTATATTATGTGGTGTTTTGGAAAGTTAGTAAAAAATTGATCAAAAAAGTGTGTAAAATGCATCTTATATTATGTGGTGTTTTGGAAAGTTAGTAAAAAATTGATTTTTTGACACTTTTTTGTGGTCTTTTGGCTTTTTTTTGTGTTAAAAAAGCTAACTTTTTTATAACTTTTTTTGTGACTTTTTTTATGTAAAAAGGATAAAAAGCTAATTTTTTTGAAAAGTTTCCAAAACACCCTTATATCCTGTCCTACCTTCATATCCATCCTTTTTATACGGTAAGCAACATGCCAAAGGTCTCACCATCCCTAACTTTCTTCCCATCTATTCACCTCAATCTTCCCCCAGGTCTATACATCAAGGCCTCGTTTGTTTTCAGAGGTAGCATGAAAGGAATTCATAGTGAGGGAATTAATAGTGAAGGGATTGATAGTGAGGGGATTAAGTAAAATTGTGTTTGTTTTGATGATAGTTGTTAGTATAGGAATTATTAAATTATTTTTATATAAAATAATAAAACAAATAAAAATAAACAAAAAATTAAACATTAATGTTAAAAAAAAATGCCCAACATGTAAAAAATAAAAAAAAATAAAAAAAATTACAGTCCCCTCACTATTTTTCTAATATCACCTCCACCTCTACCTCCTCCAGACCAATCCCCCCTTCCAACCTCCATTTTAATCCTCTCCTCCATCATAATCTCTTCCCCAATTCTATAAACAAACACAACACTAAATGGACCCCACTTCCATCATATAATACTTGTTAGTTAAAATGCCTAGTGTGATTCACTTTTTTCAATTCCAATGCACTAGACATATGATTAGGCATTTTGCCTCAACTCATATTCACTAGCTACATGTAGCTAGCCTTCAATGCTAGGCAAAATGTATTCAATCATTAGGATCATTTCCCTCCATCTTTGTTGTTGATGTGGCATTATATAAAATTAATAGTATTTAGATAAATAGCTAAAATAAAGAGTATGGTTAGAGTAAAAACATAAAACAGTCGATAGGCAAAATAAAATATATACTTTATAGTAATATTTAGATAGGTAAAATGCCTACTACCGTTGGAGATGCTCCCACCCTCTACTCTCAAAACAAACGGGACCCAACATCAATGTTCTAGCAAGACTCTCTGCTTGAGCTCCCTCCAAAAACAACTGCCCAAATGTTTCAAATTTCAAAACCATCCCAACTAAAATTGCTAAAAGTTATGTTAGGAAATTCAAATAATTTATTGAGGCTATGTTTGGTGTGAGTTTTTAATTAATTTTCTATTCTCATATTTGAATGCTATGTTTGGTTTTAGTTTTCAAAAATCAATTCCAATGCCACATTTAAATATACATTCCAATGCATGTTTTTTTTGAATTTTGAATTTGTAAATTGAGTCGTTTGTTCGGACATCCCACCAGACGTCCGGAACAATTTTTTTTTGTTTTTTTTATTTTTGCAATTACAACCTATTATTTGAAAACAAAAAATGTATATTTGTTTTTGATATTTTTTAAATATGCAAATTATTTTTTTTAGATCGTTGTCAAACAAAACAATAAAAAAAAAAATTGAACCAAATACACAATCAAAAATAATTTTAAAACACTAGTTGAATATAATTTTTAATATTTTAAATAAAAAATATTTGCTAAATTTTTTTAATTTTTTTTTAAAAAAATAATTTTTTCAATAATTATTTTTTTGAAAATTTTAAAAAGAATTTGGTTTTGAGTTTTGAATAAAATTTTTAATAGAGTTTTGAGTTGTGTGTTTGGTTATAAATTATAAATTTTTCAATTAAGTTTTGAAAACTTTTTTAAAACTTCTAACCAAATAACTTTTCTCATTTCAAAACTAGTTTGAAAACTCTTTTTAAAATTCATAACCAAACAAATTTTATCTTTTCAAATCATAATTCAAAAACTCACAAACTCAAAATATAACTCCACACTCAAATTATAATTCTAAAACTCAACAAAACGCTACCCATGTTTTATTACTAAACCTTTCACAAGAGTGTAAAATCTACACACATACGAGTTTATGCGAGTCACACACTATATGAGAGATTTAATAGAAAATTTAGCCTTCATTTGGAAAAAGCTAAAATAGCCTGGCTTTTTGGCTATTTTAGCCCTTGTTTGGTTTTTATTTTTGACTTTTTGAGAAAAAAATATAATAATTATGATTTAAATGTGATATCCTATCTTATTAATTTACATAACTAATTTTATTTTTAGCATATTTTTTTAATCAAAAAGCCAAAACCAAACATAACTTTTAATAAATTATTTCAAATCCATACCATTTTTCAATTGCTAATATAGATAACAGTTGGGACATAACTCTTTTCCAATCATTGAGAAACAACGTCCACCAAAGAAGGCACCATGGTGAAACAGAGCATACCCAACAAGAAGATGAAAAACTCCATCCCAAAAGAACTTCCATCCCAAATCATCCTCGAAATCCTCTCAAGACTCCCCATCAAAACCCTCTTCCATTGCCAACTCGTTTCCAAACACTGGCCTTCTTTCATCTCAGACCCTCACTTCGTCAATCTCCACCTCTCAAGATCACCAGTCAGCCTCTTGCTCAAACCCTTCTACCGCAACCGCGGATCGAACCAACTCCACTTGGTTGACCTCCAAACCCTCCATAAAATCCGTCACCGCGAAGCCCAATTGAAACTCAACCCCAAAATTAACTTCCCACTTCTTGGACGCCAAATAGTTAACTCCTGCAATGGTTTGCTTTGCTTGTGTAATGATAATTCTGAAATTTTCGTATGCAATCCAATTCTGGGTGACTACATTACCTTACCATCTTCAATATATGATCGAATTTACTATGATCGTACCATCAATGCTTTCGGTTTTAGTCCCAAGACTAACAAATACAAGGTGATACAGTTTGGTCTTCAACGGGTTGTCGAGTCTTTTGATCCCATTATTGAGTTTTGTACTTATCGTGATGAGGCAAAGGCTAAGATTTACACAATCGGTGAAGGGTTGTGGAGAAACGTAGAGAGTGTTCCTTACTATTTGACAAATCGCTCATTCAATTCTTTCGTGAATGGAGCTGTTCATTGGCTTAATTGTGCAGGTGATAGTCCCGACTTCATTTGTTGTTTTGATTTTTGCAGCGAACAATTTCAGGTTGTCCCTGAACCTCCTGAGTTTGGTCTGCATAAGGAGTTTCCTGATCATACTCGACTGGGTGTGCTACGAGATTGTCTCTCCACTTGTGATTTTTTTAGTCCTCTTCGTATTGATATATGGTTAATGAAAGATTATGGGATCAAGGAATCTTGGAGCAAAGAGTTGGTAATTGAAAGTGGAATTGGTAAGAGCGGGAATTGGGGCTCTTATGAGCCAATTATGGTGCTAAAGGGTGGGGAAATCTTGATGCTTATTAACAAGGATGTTCTCATGTTGTATAATCCTAAGTTGGGTAGTTTTAAGAACCTAAATATTTATGGGATCAAATCAGAATTTTATGGGATTGCTCATATTCCAAGCTTTGTTTCCCTCAAGGATGTTGCCAAAGGTGAAAGCTTGATGGTACATTTCTCTCTCTTCTTTGTTTAGTTTTGTGAAGGTAAATTTTTGAAATCAAAATTGTTTGAGTTTCTATTACCTATTATGAAAATGTGTTATAATTGGGGAATATTTGTGTTATTTTTTAGATTTGTTTGTTATATATTTTTGTTGTCTGTATTTTAACTTTGTTGAAATTTTTGTCTTGAACAAAATTGACTACTATGTTTTCTAAGATTTTGTATTGCTTCCTCATGCTCCAAAGATGTGCAGCTTTTAATTCTGCTTAAACATGTTGGAGATGTGACACAATTTCTTGAGGCCTAATGCTTTTATGTTATTTTGATGAATATGTTTTTGAAGAATTTGTGACAAATTGTTAGGATGGTGTCTTAAAGTTAGAGCCTAACAGGCCTTTCTGCAAGCAATAGAGAACACAAGCCTAATGTTAGAGGAAAGGCCAAATGGATTCTCGCTTCTTGTTTTGTTACCTTTACAGGAATCCAATGGTAATGCCCCCCAACCCAATTATTTTTTTGTGGTTCTAAACCCATATATATAATATAGTGTTTTTTGGGGTTTCTCTAAGAACTCATTTATGTAAAAAGGAATGAAGCTTGGAAGAGCTGGAGCCACACCTTACCATCATGTTCTTCACCATAGTGAAATATTCTTGATTGTCTTTGCTCATAGATGTAGGTTCTTGACAGAACCATGTAAAGTCTCTTTGCTTTGTTTGTGTATGCATTTTTGCAACATTTCTCTAGATTCATGGCTTATCCCTGTTTTGCATTGCAACAGAACTGTTTTTATTTATTTATTTTTAAATTTTTGTACCCACAGTTTATCCCTGGTTTTGATGTTTTTTTTTTGTGTGTGTGTGTGTGTGTGTGTGTTTGTCCCTTTTTCTTAAACCCACAAAATATCAACTATGGCATGCTAAACAACTATTTTGTATGCTATGCTTATTGTTCCACCATTTGAAGATGAAGAAACAAAACAAACCTCAATTTTGGATAAATGTTTATTGAACAAGGTCTTGTAACTCTTGTTGCAGTAAAAACCATTGTATGGGTGCAGAGTAGTTTGACTTTTTGCATGCAAATTGTGGAAGCTAATCTGATTCAATGAAGTGGTGGATTGATCTTGATGTGATACTTTTAGAAGCGATGGAGAACCAGTCACAGATTTGCAAAATGATTATTCATATTGCTGGGGATTAATAGGGAACTATGACTAAGTGTAAAGCATAGTAGTGGCCCTGATCATTGTTTTGTATGATGGACATTACATATGTTGCAATTGCACTTCCCTTTTCATAAACACTTGATTGTGAAACCCGGGTGTGGTTGTAGCATATGGTTGATTCTCGTAAAAGTGATGGCATTTTAGGGAGAAAATAGCATCTTGTCATTACTCTTCACAAAACAAATCAAAAGTATTCCTTTAGATATTCAAATTTCAAAGTATTAAACTCGTGCATTGGATTGCTTTATTATAAATCAACCCATCTAATAATAATAATAATAATTCAACCCATCTAACAAAATTATATATTAGTAAACATTATAAAATTAAATCAAAAAGGCCATTTTCATTTCCAACCCTTACTAAATTTTCTAGTGACTTTACGATTTTTTAACTAAAATCTTAAGTAAAACTTTAAATAAAGCGTTTGTCTGACAAGAGCCAAAAAGTTACAAAAATGTCAAAAACGCAACAAATTTAATTCTATTAGCAAAATATCACATTATACATATCAATAAATCACTTTTTTTCCCCTTACAACTATCTTTCCCCTCAATTTTTAAAACTCAACACTTCACCCCCTTCTCACCACTGCCCACATATTCTTTTCCCCGTCCAACCACCTCTCCTTCCCCCACGCCGGCCGCCTCTCTTGCCTTATCCAATCCCTTTAGTCAATTACGACCACCAACCACACCTTCCTTTTCCCTCACCCTCATTTTCCCTCCATCACCCAATTCAACATCCTCCTCTTACCCTCAAGGTCTCTTCGTCCTTCCCCTTTTCCTCTCGGTTTTTTTTTTTAATGTTGAGGTCATGTTTGGTTATGCAAAAATAAGTAGTAAGGGTATTTTTGTCCTAATAACTCAATTGGTCAGTCATGTGTCACTCACATGGCATGCTTCTGTCTAACAAATTGTTAACAGAAGGAGTTCAGTATCAAAAGATGAAACTATGAGGGGGTTAAGTGTTTAGTTTTAAACATTAGGGGGCAACTCAAAAATAGATCATAATTGAGGGGGTTTAATGTAATATACCCTTATTCTTCTCATTATTGTTATTATTTACTAGCAGGAGAGGAAAATTCAGAAGCAGAGGACAAGTGATGCCTCCAGGATATCCCATTGATGGAGGAACTGTATGATGCAGTGCGGAGACAGAGGAATGAGTTGACAATAAAGCATACAATCATAGTGGGGAATTCACAGGTCTGGGAAGAGGACTGTCTTGAGAAGTTGAAGATGCTCCCTGGGGTTACACAAGGAGATCCATTGTACTTTGTTTGGCACGGAACTAATCAAGAATCCCTTCAAAAGGGAGGTGTTTGTGGAGTTGCCTAATGACGAGTTTCGGGTAGCCTGGATCAAGATGGAGAAGATAATGACTTATGGCCAAACACTGCCTCATCTCTTGTCCAGCACATTACCCTGGTTATAACACTCCCCCTTCTGGTAGTGTTTGATTTTGTGGTGGTGGTTGTATAACTTGCATTATGGTGGTTGCATAACTTGTATTATGTGTTTTGTAGACAGTTCCTTTTATTATTGTATTGTAAGTTAATGGATGTTTGCTTCTTAAAATTACTGTGGATGCTATTTGCTATTTTGTGTGGTTTTTGTAATAGCTAAGAAGACTTTATGCATATTTGTACTTTTAAACAAGTTCAACTATGATGTGTATGTTGTTTACATTTACCATTGGCTAAAGATGAAAGACTACAAAAATATAGATGGTGCAATGCAAAGCAACTCTGCAGCAGATAATTATGTGAAAAATAGCACATAAATGAAAAAAATATATAAAAATAAACTAATTGAAAATCAGTGGTAAAAACTTTGTAATTGATTGCGTGTGCAATCAACTGTTTAATCTTTGAAGGCTTGTATATATATTTTTTCCTACACTGGTAATTGTATTGGTAAATTTCAATAGTGCTTTAATTTAATGGATTGGTAGATAGTGTTCAGTTTGTGATGGACTCAATCATCCATTGAAGGACGAAAATGGTGAATAAACCAGTATTCTTACGAATTTGTGAATTTTATAATGTAGATTTTGTACCTGTTGATTTGTAAGTTGTGATTATTATTGTCTTTATGGTGTATTGATTGGTTAGATTAGATTAGATCGTGTATTTTTTTTTTCAATGATATTTTCTACGTTTAAAATTGTGAGACTATTTTTTTCTGTGAATAATTTATTTTACATTTGCTTTTTAAATTATCTGATAAATTAATCAACTAAATAATTTCAAAGCATATTCATATTAACAAATCTAATTGTTTACTAAAAGTAAATAATAAATAATAGCCTCTCACACACTCTTTTTTTTATTTGTTTTTGTTTTTATTTTTATTCTTATCATTATGCCTTAAAAAATATGATTGATTAAAAATAGAGTTGAAGTTGAGCGTAGACAAACATTGAATTAGCCGGGTATAAGTCAGAAATTTCAAAAAATCTCTCATGTGACTCAACTGCAGACCTAAAATATCTTCTAAGTTCAATCCTAAAATGGTATATAATTCAACCCATCTAACAAAATTATATATTAGTAAACATTATAAAATTAAATCAAAAAGGCCATTTTCATTTCCAACCCTTACTAAATTTTCTAGTGACTTTACGATTTTTTAACTAAAATCTTAAGTAAAACTTTAAATAAAGCATTTGTCTGACAAGAGCCAAAAAGTTACAAAAATGTCAAAAACGCAACAAATTTAATTCTATTAGCAAAATATCACATTATACATATCAATAAATCACTTTTTTTCCCCTTACAACTATCTATTCAATTAAAAAATCTTTCAAAACATATTAATCTTTTCCATAAATTAAATTAATCTTCATTGAGATTTAGAAAAAATATATAAAAAAAAAATCGCACAATATTTATACCTAGGCGAGAGGTGTTAATTTCAAAACCCTATCATTCTATTAACTGCTAATTTCATGTCTCTTTTGTATGGGCCTTGCCTGCTCTTATATCAATGTATGGCAATAGTTTGATAAAGTAAAACATTCATGCATGTCTATACGAAAAATGATTGGGTGTTCTAATGAAAGAGTTCTAATGAGTTCTAATGGGAGTGGACTCTACTGTAATGTGATATCTTGGCTTTAGTTTTATTTTATTTTATTTTATTTTGTTTAGGAAAATGGGTGGGAGCACTAATTAGTGCTATCACTAATGATGTGGTGGTGAGTCCCACCCACGGTCACAGTGCTTTTTTTTTTTTTTTAATGGATACCAACTCATTAGTGCTAGTTTAGAGCACCACCTTTAGTGATCTCTATCATTGTTTTTTTTTTTTAATTCTCTGCCACATCATTAGAGCTCAATTAGAGCTCCAAAATTAGAGGGGTGTATCATTACTCTTATATTATAATGTGAATTTGTGTAGACGAAAGCATGTAACATTTAGGGGGTTGCAGATTGATTTTTGATAGTTTGATTTATGGTTTAGATTTATCTGTATGTCTGTGATTTGGGAAAATTAAACCTGCAATCGCCTGCAATACAATTGTTGTTTGTACGAATAGGGTTCATAAATGTGCTGACGGTTTGTGGATTGAGCTTTTTCCTTTAAAAAATTATTTTTTTGTTTGTTTTTTTCCCCATTTTTCAAATATTTTTGATTATAGGAGATTCAACACTATCCTCTATTAAAACTGAATTACAAAAAATTAGAATGAAAATTAAATAAAAACTAACATAGAAAAAAAATAAAAAAAAAAATCACATAACTAGATTTGCAAAAAATTGAAAAAATTCCAATTGAATAATAAGTATTTCAAACAAGGCAGTGCGTGATATTATTATAATGTTATAATGTTAGAGCCTACAGGTTTGATAATCAGATTAAAGTGAGTGAGAGAAGAGAAAATTAGGATTACACACTTACAAAACTTACAAGAAAATCTGATGGTTTAGATTTTTTTTTTTTTTTAAAAAAAAAATTATATACAGATGCAAGTAGGTGAGTGCGAGCGCGAGTGTGGGTAAAACCCGCAACCCGTCCATAACCCGCAAAATAAGAAAATTGTAAACCGCATCCGACCCGAACAATTTTGCGAAACCGCCCAAATAGACGCGAATGATTCAAATTGAACAATTTTTACGAGTTAGATAATCCTATGCCTAGCCCAATATAACATTATTTATTTCCCTAAATTACCTTTACATGTTTATGTATCTCAATTCCTTGCTAACTGCTTCTCATCGTTTTGTTTGTGGCATGGATGATGGAACAATGGGTGACTATTTTTTAATGGGACTCAGTCTGAATTCAGTTATGCTACGTAGCTCGAATAAGGCTCGCTCCGAATGGCTCGAATTCCAAAACGACGTCGTTTTGGATTTTTTTTTTCCTCTTTTCTCTCTAAAGATGAAGAATATGAAGATAGAAGAAAGAGAGAAGAGGGAGCTGGGAAACTGAGAGAGAGAGAGAGAGAGAGAGCATCAACGTCAACAACAACAATACATCATCATTAACAATGTGGAGAAGTGGTTTGAAAATACTCTTCTGATCCTGGGGAATGTTCGAGATCCTCTTTCGGTCACCTGAAAAGGAATATACACTCCGGCGGGGGTGCCGGAATTAGCACTCCGATGGACAAGTCAGTAACCGCACTCAAGAATACTTATATTCTAAGTTAAGCACTATAATTCTCACATACCTCTTTCTAGCTGATGTTTTTCTATTTATATCTTTTCTCCCATGGGCCTCGGGATTAGGTCCATTTCCAACTCATATTCGGCACATCTTATAATAGACCGACCCTCACTCGGCCCCTTGCCTAATCGGCTATTTGGCTGAATAGGATTGGATTTGAACATGCGAGCCAATTGCCGAGTGCCTCGAATCTCGACTCTCCAAGATTCGACTATCAGGAATCTCTACTACTCCCTCTTCTCGGCCCCCACAATTGCCCCCCAAGCACTCCACTAACGACAGTTGGCTGTAATGTTTGGTTTCGAACTTGAAGAGTTAGAGCTGAAATTCAGCGGCTGACCATATTCCAACGCAAATGTCTGTACACACGCTTCCCGGTTATCTTTTCAACTTCCCGCCTCTTTGTACGTTTCTATTTATTGCGATTTGAAATTTCGATGTCTTTTCAAATGCATACATGCTTTTAGACGCCCGTCGCTGGATTGCCTTCCGAACTACCTCTGCAACTTCCTACTCTTCTCTATCTCTTTCGCCTCTTGTAAGTTCTCTCCTTCTCTGCTTTGTTTTTCTTTTGGTTTAGCATAATCCTATTGGCTAGGGGAATGACGAAACATTTAAAAGATCTCCTCTCACCAGATCGAATTTCTGGCTTCCGACGCCATTTTTCCATTCCTGATGATGTTCGTCTGTTATTTGTGGCAGACAGCACCCTCGATATGGAGAGGGTTGATGAGACCACGATCGTTTTCCCTCTTCTATCAATCGCAGAGGGTGGGGTCCGTTTTCCCCTTCACCCTCTTCTTAGGGCCGTGCTTTGCCGTTGGGAGTTAATCCCTTCCCAACCCAATGTCAACTTCTATAGGATCATGATGGGGATTACCGCACTAAATCGCTGCCTTAGGCCTAACTTTGGCATCTCGCTATTCAGCACTGCTACGCCTTGGCCAAGTCCTCTGGTCGGCACGGGCGTTATTTCCTTAGGGCCAAAGACACCGACCATCAACTAGTGACTATGCTTTCCAGCTCTAGGAAGCGAGTCGATGATGTTACGGTCGTCGTCCAAGGAAACTGGAAATTCGGCGAAGGTGAGGATCGCCTGGATCGTATTCCTAGACGGAGGGGCGAACTAGGAGGCCGAGTATCTTCTTTTATTTATTTACTTGTTATATTTATTAAACTTTATTTTCGGGACCTCATGGTTTTGCTTTTACAGGAAACGATTTGAAGAAAGTCTTGATATCGATCGACGACGCCGTCCTTTCGAAAATCAAGACTGTGCTCAAGTATTTCGGCCGACCGAGTCTTCAGAAGCAAGGGAGGGCAGCCTACGTTCTGCTCCGCTACGAGCCGACTTATACAGCCTTTTCGGTGGCAGAGAACATTCAAATTCCAGAGGGTGAGGAGTGTCTTATCGCCCTTATCTTGACTGATTTCAAAAATTTGAGGGAAATTGGTCGCGAGGGATCAGATTCGGAGCGACCGAAAATAGCTGAGGCCGCCGAGTCAGACCAATTCGAAACTGAGGTTGACGAGGCTTTGAAGTTAGCATTTGAAGAAGCCGGCCTCAATTCGGCTGATCCTTCATCCACTTCTGGTCGGGAGGACTGTCCACTCGACGATATTTTACACGGTCTAGAGGACCTTCCCGGGGCGTTCCCGGAAGATATGGCTGGGTTGAGCCTCACTAAACTTGCCAAGAAGGCAAACGCAGAAAGGATGGCCGCGCGGCGAAGGGCGGAGGAGATTCGGGCTGCCGAATCTCAGTCCTGGACCTCCTTGCCTGTTATTGAGGGGACGAAAAAGAACAGAAGTACCGAGGCAGAACCTTTTGTGCAGGCAAGTGTGGAAGCTGAGCAAAGGGTGGAGAAACACCCTGCCGATGTCGAGGCCGGCTCAGAAGAACGTGCCGACAAACGACCTCGTTTGGAGGAGTCAGATGTGATCATTCCTTTTGTTATCCAGCCCAAG